GCTGCTGCTGCTGCTGCTGCTGCTGCTGCTGCTGCTGCTGCTGCCCTGCCTGCTGCGCTGCTGCTGCGGCTCCTGCCGCGCTTTTCTAATAACGCCGCCACCACCACCATGGCTACACCATTGCACGCACTGCCGTTACCCAATCAACCACCCAACTTCTCACCTCACTTCCACATTCTGTGCAGCCCCTCTGGTGATGCCAGCCGCGGCGTGTTCAGCGGGCGTACGGGGAGCTATCGTGTGACGAGCCCTGTCAGCGGCACCACCTACCAGGTCTTGATGCGCCGCGCGCTGACTGCACGCCAGGCCACACTCCTGATGCGTACAGGGCGCCTCTATGCGTCCCGCGGCACCTCCGCCAAGGCGATTGGCGGCGGCGCCGACAGCGACGACAGCGACGCATTCAGCATTGGTGACATTGTGGGCGGCGGTGACATGACAGCGGCCGCTGTGCTGGGCCCATCGCACCCCATTTCCATGCCGAGCAGCGGGCGTCCGTCGGACACTGGCAACGGCTCAGAGGCGGGCAGCTCGGTTCTGGGCGGCGTCAAGCCGCTGCCACTCAGGGGAAACGGTGGGTGCCTGGCAGCAAGCCTTCACAATGGCGCCCAGAATTGCTGTGCGGCAGCCTGCCAGCGGGGTGCTAGGTCGAAGGTGCCAAACGCACTGCTTGCATGCTATTCACGTCAATACAATGCATTGGTTGCAGTGCCAGGGCGCGCCGCTGCTGCGGACTGCATCGTCGCCCTTTCCCCCAACCCCGCCGTGTGCCCTCCCACAGGCGCCTCCCACCGGGCCCAGCGCGAGGGACAAATGGCTCTGCGCCTGCTGCGCGAGCTGCTCAAGCGCGACTACGCCGTGGGCTACCTCTTCCTCAGCTGGCTGCTGCGGACGTCATGGACGCTCATGCCCGCCGTGGCAACGCTGATGGGCCTGCCCAACCCCGCCGAGAAAGGTGCGGGCCCGACGTGCGATGCGCATTGTTGGTTGCGGACCTGGGCGAAGCAGCAGCAGCAGCAGCAGCAGCAGCAGCAGCAGCAGTAGCAGCAGCAGCGGAGTGCTTGCACGCAGCCAGCCTTTCTTCTGCGCACAGTCCTGCTCACACACACTGCACACGCACCCCTGCGCCCGCAGCGCGGCGCCAGCTGCCGGCACTGCTGGCCTGGCTGGCGGCTGCCGGCCTCGACGACAACGGCACTGGCGAAAACGTTCGCCGCGCTGAGGCGCTCGCGGCGGCCCTCACGCCTGAGCAGCTGGAGGAGCTGGGCCGCAGCCTGCAGGGGCCCACGGCTGCGCTTGCTGTTTTTGCACAGTTTGTGCGCGCGCAACAGGCGCTAGAGGGCGCACCGGCCACGGTAGAGCAGGTGTGTGCGTTTTTCCTTTGGCCCTGGGTTGCGTTTGAGTGCAGCCTGCCAATTGCCAGCTGCGGTCAACACCTGACTGGGGGCCGACGCAGCATTTCTGAATGGACTCCATCACTCTGTCTGCTTTGCTGCCCAACCCCATTGGTCAATATTTACCCTCCTCTGGACCCATGATTTCTCCAGGTTGCCGCATACATGCGGGCCGAGGAGCGACTCGCGGCACTCTTCCCTGACATCAACCTGCGCACCAACCTTGCCGCGGGCGTCGTCGGCGGGGCCGCGACGGCCCAGGCGGGCGCCAATGCCGCTTCTGCCGTGGGCGACGCTGGCGTCGCCGCCAAGGACGCTGAGGTGGCGGCCGCAGCCGCGGCTTCGCCGCTTGTCGCGTCGCCGCTCGGCGCTCTCGGCTCGCGCATCGCTGCGGCGCTGTCCTCGCTGACGCAGGGTGCCTTAGGCGCGGGCGCTGCGCCGCGCGTGTCGCAGCTGCGCGAGCTGCGCATGCGGCTGCCGACGACGGCGGACAGGTCGGCCATGCTGTCTCAGTACGGCGTTTGGCTGGGCGGCCTGCGGGAACAGCTGTTGTCGCAGCACCTGGACGCTCAGGCGCAGCTGGTTGCACTGCGCGTGGAGCTGGAGAGCGCGTCAGGGGACCTGGCACGCTCGCAGGGGGCAGCCACAGCCATCCAAGAGCAGCTGCAGGCTCTGGATTCAGCCAAGTGGAGTGCCCTGGCCAAGTACGAAGAGGCGCAGGTGTGTGTTTGTTTGTGTTTGGGTTGTGTGTGTCTGTGTGTGTGTGTGTGTGTGTGTGTGTGTATGTGTGTGTGTGCGTATGTGCGTTTGTGTGCATATGTGCACATGCGACTGGTCGTCATTTTATACGCCAGAAGCTGGAGACTGGAGATTGGCTGCCAGGGACGTGCTGAGACATAGGAAGTTGGGCTCTCCGCTAATTGGCCTGACAAGCTGCAACACTCAGCACTGACGAATTTGAAACGCCTGCTGGCCCTCCAACGTGCAGAGGGTGCTGGCACGCCTGCAGCGCGAGTCCCGGGGAGAGCCCAGCCACGGCCGGCAGCAAGAAGCGCCGTCCGTGGCGGCCGCCCGGCTGGACGCCGCCGCTGCGGAGAGCAGCGCCGCCGACGCCAAGGACCGCGTGCAGCAGCTCGCCGCAGAGAAGGATCGGCTCCAGCGCGACAACTCACGCCTGGCCGCCCGTGTCGCTGAGCTGCAGGCCGCGTGCGCGGCTGCCGCCGTCATCGCCGCGCGGCAGGCCGCGGCTGGCGCCGACCTGGAGCGCGGCGTCGCGGAGCTTGCGGCCATGGCTGGCGCGGCGGGAGACGTGCAGCAGCACGTGGAGATGGTTGAAGAGGAGCTGCGCCTGCTGGCCGAAGCGATCAACGGGCAGCTCAAGAGCGCCGAGCGGCGCGCCGCGGCCGCCGTGGCCGCGCCTCCCGGCAGCCAGAGCAGCCTGATTGCCAGCGCGCACGCAATCTTGGAGAGCGCTGAGCAGCTTGTTGCCGAGTCTGAGGGCGCCGCGGGCGCGAGCGCGGGGCCGCGGCTGCCGCCGCTGCCAGCCGGGGCAAGCGCCGCGCAGCGGCTGCTTTGGGTCAACAGCGCGGCGGACGCGCTGGGCCACGCGCTGCAGGGCGTCATCTCCAAGTCGCAGGAGGGGGCGGTCGCGGCGGCGGCGGGCCTGGACAAGGTGTCGGAAGTGTTTGGGGCCGCGCCAGGGCTGCCTGGCATGGACGATTTCCTGGGGGACCTCATCAAAAGCAGCGAGCTGCAGGCGGCAGCCAATGGCGCCTCCGTGCAGCCTCCTGCGGACGCCCCTGCTGTGGCAGCGGCAGCGCCCGAGGCTGCTGCTGCTGCTGCTGCAGCGGCGGCGGCGGCGAGTTCCAGCGGCAGCCTCAGCGGCCTCAGCGGGGACGATGTGGCGGACGTTGACTCGCCCGTCACGCTTTGGCTGCGCCACTGGTCGGCGGCGCCCGGCTGGGACGCCAAAGCCGCGTGGCTGCAGGACTGGGCGCGCGCCCAGGTGGCGGAGGGCAAGCGGCGCGTGCCGCAGGAGGTGCGCGCTGCGGGCGGCAAGGCGGTGAAGGAGCTCAAGGAGAAGGTGCTTGCCGCTTTCACCATTGTGGTCGGCCTCAGCGACAATCTTTGGCCGGACGACGACGGCGCCGACGGCGGTGGCAGCGGCGGCGGCTCTGCGGGCAAGGGCGCGGCCAAGGATAGCGAGCCCATGGTCCAGGGGGAGTATGGCGCCGACGGCAGCGGCATGGAGGGTGGCGGTGCCGGGGACGGCGGGGACGCCGGCAAGGGCAAGGGTGGCGGCGGTGGTAGCGGTGGCGGCGGCGGCGGCGGCGGCGACTCTGGGCCTAGCGACAACAGCGCGGGCGGCGGGGACGGTGCCGGCGGCGCTGGCGGTGGCGGCGATGGAGGCAACGGGGGCAACAACGGAGGCGGTGGCCCGCCTGGCGGGGACCCGTTTGACGGTTTTGATCAATTCCCATCCGGCGGCTTTGACCCGGTTGTTGTGCTGCCTGTGGCCCTAGCAGCTGCGGTCTCACTGGCGGCCAGCCTGTTTGGCGGCGGCAAGCGCGCCGGCTCCCAGCCCAACTCTGCGGTTGCCACGCGCGCCGCATCGCTGACGGCCGAGGTTGAAGCGGCCGTGCAAGCCGCGCGTGGCGCTGGTGCGGAGGCTGCCCAGGGCGCCACCACCGGCAGCCACGCAGTGCCTAACGCGGCGCGCTCGGCCCGCGAGAAGCAGGCACGCGCGGCCGCGGCGGCGTTTGTGCCATCGGCCGTCGAGCTCTTGTCGCCGGCGGTGTTTGTCGGCGGCGTTGAGGTGCTGGTGGCAGCCGACGAGGCTCTCCAGATCTCAGCCGGCGCTGAGACTATGCGCAGGCAGCTGGCAGCGGCGCGGTACGAGACGCACATGGCCGCTCCGGCGGCGGTGCCTAATTGGGCCGCCCGCAGTGGCAGCGGCCACAACTCGGGAGTGCCGGCTGCAGCCGGCGCTGATCGGGATCGCTCCGAAATGCTTCCTGACCTGGACCCCAGCCGGCTGCAGCACCTGACCTGGGCAGAGCTGGACGCCCTGCCGCAGGCAGCGCAGACTGAGCTGCTCTCGCTGCGCCAGGAGGCACAGGCGGCGCGCTGCGAGCGCCGCGCGCTGAGGCGGCGGCTGCGCGAAGTGGAGGGGGTGCTACAGGAGCGGGACACTGAGTTGGCGGCAGCGCAGGCGCGCGGCGCTACGCTGCAGGGGTGGCTCAAGGCGACAGTCTCCAAGGTGGGCAGGCTTTGGGTTTGAAGAATGGGTGCTTGCTGTTGACAACGGGGCTATGGATGGGATCGTGGGGCAAGAGGCTGCATGCATGCGGCATAAACAAGGCATGTGCCTTTCTCAGTCCCAGGGATTCTCCGCTTGAGCACCCTCAGCTCCCCCTCAGCAAATTCATTAGCCACCCAACTTCCATGCCAAGCCCCACTCATCCGACCCATGCAATGGCCCCTCATCCCTCAAAACACCCATGCAACCCTCAGGCGTCCGCCATCGTCGACGCCATCTCATCTAAGGACGGAGATGCCGCCCATGCCGCCGCCCGCGCCTTCTCCAAGGCCCTCCACCTCGGCGCCTTCGGCCCCGACAGCGCCGCAGCCGCGACAGCGTCTGCAGCCGCCGTCGCCGCAGCGGCCGAGCGCAGCCGCCTGGCAGCGCGCGTCGCCGCGCTGACGGCGCAGCTGGAGGCGCAGCAGGAGGCGTCGGACTGGCGCATCTCAGACCTGGAGGGCCGCGTCGGCCGCGCGGCGCAGCTGCGCGCGGTCGGCGACGAGCGCATGTCGCGCCAGCTGTCCGAGGCAAGGGCGGGCTCGTTGGCGCTGGAGGCCCTCATGAGCGACCTCCTCGCCCAGGTGGCCGACGCCCGGGAGGCGGCCGAGCGCGAGGGCGTGCGTGCTGCGCAGGCGGAGCGGCTGGCGGGCGAGGCCAGCGCACATGCGGCAGCGCTCGAGGCGCGGCTGGCCGAGGCGTGCGCGGCCATCTCGGCGAGGGAGCCGTTCGTCTCGGCTTTGGAGGCAGAGCTGGCGCAGGTGGGTTTGAGACTAGGGTGCATGCACAGGTATGGGTGCAGGGTCACCCTATATTGCTGCTATCATGCATATATACGTTGCTCACGCTTTGACTTATCGGCGGAAGGATGCATGCAGCGGTGCGCCCATACATCGGCTTGCCCAAGCAGCCACCATCATGCACAGTCAAGCCCAGCTTGTCACTCGTGCCTGCAGTCACTCCCCGCCCTCGCCCGCCATACCCGAAATCCGCCACACCCACAACCTCCTCCAACAGGAGCGCACCCGCAGCGTAGCCGCCGAAGCGATGCTGCGCAGCCGCCTGGACCAGGCGCGAACAGCCCTGGACGAGAGCTCCGCCGCCCTCGCTAGCGAGCAGGAGGCCGCGGCCGCTGCGGCAACGTCAGCCAGCGAGGCGCTGCTGGAGGCGCGCCGCTCGGCCGATGCGCTCGCGGATGAGCTCCGCTCCACGCAGGCTGCGTTGGCCGCCGCCGGGCCCGTCGCCCAGGCGACCTCTCAGCTGCAGGAGCGCGTCGGCGAGCTGGAGCGGGGTCTATATGAGGCCGACGCCCGCCTGGCTGCTGAGGAACAGGTTGCTGCTGCCGCCAAGGCGGCAAGCGACGCGCAGATCGGGGCGCTGGAGGCGCAGGTGGCAGAGCTGGAGGCCGGCAAGCAGGCAGCTGAGGCGGAGCTGCAGCGTGCGCGAGCGGATGCAGACAAGCAGGTGGGGAAGAGCGTGGGTTGCATACTGAACTGTGTGTCTGAGGAATCGGTTTGATGTGTTGCATGCATCAAAGGGGGGCATAAGGAGAGTAAGTCCCAAGCACACACCCCAAAGCACATGTGTTGTCGCATCACTGGTTGTTGCACCACAAAACCTTGCCGCACGCCGCCCAGTCCAGTCCAGTCCAGCCCATCCCATCCCACCCTTGAACCTCTCACACATCCCCATCTCGACCATTTCAACCCCAGTTGACAAACCTCCAGGACAGTGCGGACGCCCAGCAGCGCGACGCCGCCGGCCTCCTCGTCGCCGCGCAGCGCCAGCTCGCAGAGCACACCGCCACGGCCGACGCCGCCCGCGCGGCGCTCGAGCTGAGCCGCGAGCAGGTGGCCGCCGAGCTCGAAAACGCGCGCCGCGGCTTCCAGGGCTTCACCTCCAGCCTGGAGCGGGAGCTCTTTGAGGCGCGCTCAGCGGCTGGCGCCGCCGAGGCCGCGCTCCGGGCTCAAGCCACGGCGGCACAGGCTGCGGCGGACGCCGCCGACGCTGTGCGGCGGGAGGCGGCGGCGGCTCTTGCGGCGGCGCGGGCTGACGCAGCCGCCGCGCACGCCGATCTGCAGGCCGCGCAGCAGCAGGCACACGCCGACGCCCAGGCGGCGGCGGAGCGCGCGGCACTGCTGCAGTCTGAGGTCGAGGCTGTCAAGGCGTCTGCACTGGCAGAATCTGCAGCGCTCCAGGCCTCCCTTGCTGACAAGGACTCGGCCCTCAGCGCCCGCGACGCCGAGCTCGCGACCAGCGCGGCTGCGCTTGCAAAGAGCGACGCGGCCGTTTTGGAGGCACAAGCCGGGTTGGAGGCGGCCAGGGCGGACGCAGCGGCGGCAAGAGAGCGCGCCGCCTGCGACACGGCGGAGCTGGAGGCCCAGCTGAAGCGTGCCAGGGATGAGTCTGCAGCAGCCAGTGACATTGCTCAGGCACGCATCGCCTGCCTGGAGAGCGAACTTGCCGACGCCTGCGCGGCATCTGAGGCGGCGCTTGCGGGGTCCGCCGCGGCAGCCCTCCTGCGCGCGCCGGCCGGCGCCGCGACTACCACGGCCGCCGTGACCCGCCTGGCGGCAGCCAAGGCGACGGCTGTGGCGGCGGCGGCCGCGAGCGCGATAGAGGCTGCATCAACTGCGGCGCAGCTGGCCTGCCTTCACGAGGAGCTGGCAGCCATCGAGGCCAAGGCGACGGATGCTGCTGCCAAGCGCGAAGCCGCGCAGCAGCTGGTGCGCTCCATCAGGTTTTTGGGTTTTGTGGAAGCAGAGGCCTTGCATGAGCTTGTGCAGCTGCATTCACCAGTGTGCAAAATTAAAGGCGCAACATGAAATGCCTGGCGCCGCATCATGCCACAGTCTGAACACTCACAACGGAAATGTTTGTCCCTCGTACCTGCGGCCGTCCACGCAGGCGCAGGATATGCAGCAGCGAGCTGGTGAGGAGGAGACGCGCGCTGCCCTGCTGGAGCGGCAGCTGGTCGAGGCCCTCAACAACGCCCGCGCGGCGCAGGCCTGCCTAGACGCGGCGCAGCAGCAGGCGCAGGCCGAGGCAGCTGCTATGGCAGCAGAAATGTCGTCACTGCAGGCTGAGCTGGACGCTGCCCGGGCTGCTGCACAGGCGGAAGTGCAAGTGCTGAACGAGCAGGTAGGCTTGGGTGCAGGCCGACATGGGTGCCATCACTGACATTTCCATGCATGATTGGAGCACGGCAATAGCAACAGCGCCGTGAATCAGCGCGTTTGAGCCCGTGACATCTGCGGTCATCAGCATGCACAGTCAGGCCAACCCCACCGTGCCATTGCCCCTCAATCAAAAATATTGCCCGTCAGCTGACCGAGGCACGCCGCCAAGCGGAAATAGGGGCAGCCGAGGCTGCCAGCAGCGTGGCCGCAGCGCAGCAGGAAGCCGAGCGCGCTTGCCGGCGATGCTTGGAGCTGGAGGAGCGGGCCGCCACAGTTGTGGGCAGGGCGGCGGCGGCAGATGCGGCTTTTGAGGCGCAGCTCGAGGATGCACTTGAGAGCGCAGCGGCCGCTGAGCGGGTGGCCGCGCAGGCGCGAGAAGCGGCCGTGCAGACAGCTGCCCAGCTCGACCTTGCTAGGAAGGAGCTGGCCGCCGCGCGCACTGCCCAGGAGGCGTCGGCCAGCGCGGCAGCCGCCAATCTCGTGGCCGAACAGCTGCAGCTGGTGCAGGCGACCGCCAGGGGCGAGGAGCTGCGGCAGCAGTTGGAGGCGGCACAGGCGAAGGTGGAGGCCCTGCAGAGCGAGCTGTCCACGGCGCTTGCGACTGCAGCGGCTGACGCGGCCAGCACGCGCACATCGCTGCAGACAGCCGCGTCAGAGGCAGAAGGGGCGGCGGCGCGCATCATGGCGCTGCAGGCAGATCTGGACGCCGTGCGCTCCGCGTCGCAGGGTGAGGCATTGGGCCTGGCACAACAGCTGTCGGCCGCTCGGGCAGAAGGCCAGGCTGCAGCGGAGACCGCTGCTGCCACTCTGGCGACTGCGAAGCAGCAGCTGTGTGTGGTGGAGGCCCAGTGCGCCGTGCTGCAGCAGCAGGTGGAAGACGAGGCAGCCAGAGCAGCCACCCTGGAGGGCGACCTGTCAGCAGCACACGCTGCGACCGCAGCTGCACAAACGCTTGCCGAGGCTGCAGAGGCGGCTTCCACCACCCTGCAGGCCGAGCTGGGCGCGGCGCTCGCAGCGTCTGCAGCTGCGGCTGAGCAGCTTGAACAGTCGGGCATCGAGCTGTCCGCTGCAAAGGCTGCCAGCGATGCGGCTGCAATTGCCAATGCTTCAGCGGCGGCAGCACACGCTGCCAAGGCCGCGCAGAGCGCAGAGGAGCTGAGCGCCTTGCGAGGACAGCTTGCTGACGTGTGCGCTGCGGCGCAGGCGGCGGCCGCACAACGCGACGCAGCAGAGCAGGCAGTCAACACAGCGTCAGCAGAGGCAGAGCAGCTGCGCATCAGGGTAGAGGAGGTCCAAGCGCAGGCACAGGCGCTGCAGAAGCAGTTGGTTGCCACTGTGGCTGAGTCGGCAAAGTCGCAGGAGCAGCTGTCAGCAACAGTGGCGGAGCTTTCCGCCACGAAAGCAGCGGCCGAGGCAGTGGCATCTGGAAAGGCTGCAGAGCTGGAGGTCCTCGCCGTCCAGGCAGCGCAGGCGGCGAGCAGCGCCGCTGAGCTGGCAGGCAAACTCGCGGACGGTGAGGCAGCCAGGGCCGCGGTGGAAGCCGCGCTTGAGGCGGTCCGCGAGGAGCTGGCCGCGGCCAAGGCGGCGGCAGAGGCAGCGACTTCTCAGAGCCAGGCCGCCCGCGAGCAGCAGGCGGCTGAGGCGGCGCAGGAGGCCCAGGAGCTGCATGCTGCTGCTGAGGACGCGCGGGCCCGCGCGGACTGCTTGCAGCAGCAAGTGGCAGACGCCCTGGCGGCTGCCGCCGCAGAGACTGCCAAGGTTGCGGTGGCCCAGGAGCAGCTTGCCGTGGCCCAAGACCAAGCCGGAGCAGCGTCCAGCGCGGCTGCAGCTCTTGAGGCGGAACTGCGCGCTGACTTGGCAGCAATGAGGTCAGCGTCTCAGGGGCAAACGACTGACCTGGCCGTGCAGCTGGCGGCAGCACGCTCTGAGGGCGTGACTGCTGCCGCTACGGCTGCTGCCAGCCTGGCAGCGGCTGAGGAGCAGCTGGCAGGTGCAGAGGCCCGCTGCTCTGAGCTTGTGCAGCGGTTGGAGGAGGCGTCTGCCAGGGCTGTGACGGCGGAGAGCGACCTGGCCCTAGCCCGTGCTGCTGCTGTTGAGAACAAGTCAGCGGCCGATGCAGCCAGCAAGGCCGCTGCCGACGCAGCTGCGCATGCGGCCTCCGAGCTGCAGGCATTGAAGGAGCAGCTGGCTGGAGCAGAGGGGCACTGCGCTGAGCTGCAGCACGAGGTGGAAGAAGCGGTTGCCAGGGCTGCGGGTCTTGACAGCAGCCTGGCCGCAGCCCGCTCTGCTGCTGTTGAGGTGCAGGCTGCAGCCGATGCAGCTGCCATCGCCGCGGCTGGCGCGGCTGCCGTAGTTGCAGCGGCACACGCGGCCGAGCTTTCACGCGCCGCGGTGGACCTGCAGGCAGCCGAAGAGAAGCTGGCAGCTGCCGAGCAGGCTATGGCAGGTGCGCGCCAGGCGGCTCAGCGTGCAGCCGGGTCCGCAGCTGCCGAGAACCAGCAGCTCCAGGAGCACATTGAGGATATGGCAGCTACCATCGGATCCCTGGAAAAGCAGCTGGCAGCGGCCGTTGCCGCCGCCGACAAGGTGGCCGGCGAGGCCCAGGAAGCTCGCGAAAAGGCCACGGCAGATGCAGAGGCGGCAGCGAAGCTGTCCTCAACGCTGCAGCGCGATCTTGAGGCCGCCCGCACTGCTGCTGAGGGCGCCAACGCCGCAGCCGAGGTCGCAGAAGCAGCCTCAGCTGCGCTGCAGGCGCAGGTTGCTGCTGCTCAGGCTGATGCCGCGGCGGCTGCCGAGCGGCTGGCGGTGACGGCTGGTGAGCTGGACGCAGCAAAAGCAGCGGCGCACGCGGCCGTGGACGCAGCAGCAGTCGCCGAAGCAGCGTACAGTGCTGATCTGCTTGCTGCTCACGCGCAGCTGGCCGCCGCAGTCCAGAGTGCGGCAGAAGAGCGAGACGCGGCGCAGCAGGCAGCGGAGGCCGAAGCCGCATGCACACAACAGCTGCAGGCTGAGCTGCAGGGATCCCAAGCCGCAGTCGTTTCCCTGCAGGAGCAGCTGGCAACAGCCACTGCAGCTGCCCTGGCTGGCAAGGACGAGGCTCGGGCCATGCAGGAGAAGGTGGTGGCAGACGCAGAGGCGGCGGCAGCACGCATCGCGGCCCTGCAGGCCGATCTCGACATTGCTACCACAGCCGCCGTCGCCAAACACGCCGCTTTGGCCGATCAGCTGTCGGCGGCTTGTGCCGAGGGCGCGGCTGCAGCGGCCGCAGCTGCTGCCAGCCTTGCGGCGGTGCAGCAGCAGCTGTCAGCTTCAGAGGCACGGAGGTCCGAGCTGCAGCAGCAGGTGGACGCTGCTGCTGCCCAGGCAGTGACCCTGCAGTGCGAACTGGAGGCGGCGAGGTCAGAGGTGGCGTCCACTGCAGCTGAGCGTGTGTCTTTGCAGCAGCGGATTGACGAGGGCATGGCAGCTGTCGCCGGTCTGCAGCAGCAGCTGGCTGATGCGCTGGCGGGCGTTGCAGCTGCGCACTCCGAACTGGAGGCCGCCCAGCAGCAGGCCCGCAGCGACGCCCAGGTGTCGGCCGAGCGCGTGGTGCAGCTGGAATCGCAGGTGGCAGCGGTCGCAGCGGCTGCTTCAGCAGAGTCCGCGGCTCTAGTGGACCAGTTGGCGGACGCCCAAACTGGGCACAGTGCTGCGCAACAGCAGCTGGCGGCCGCAGACGCTCGGTGCACAGAGCTTCAGGCCGCTTGCGACGCGGCTGAGGCCCGGCAGGCGGCCCTGGAATCAGAGCTGTCAGAGGCGCGCGCTGCATTGGAAGCTGCGGAGGCTGCCGCATCGGCTGCTGAGCAAGCTACCCGACTAGCCGCAACCGCCGCCGCTGAGCGGGTTGCCGCGCTGGAGGAGGAGGTGCGGGCGTCTGCGGCCCGCGCCGACATGCTCGGCCAGCAGCTGCAGGCGGCGCAGGTCGCAGCCGAGCAGGAGCGGCTGCGTGCCAACGTCAGCGACGCGCGGGTGGCTGACCTGGAGGCTTCCCTGCGCGGGCAGAAGGCCGCTGGCGCGACGGCCCTTGACGCTTTGACTCGTGATCTGGACAGCACCAAGCTGGAGCTGTCGTTTAAGGTGCAGGAAATTGACTCGGCAATTGAGGCCCTCCGCGCGCTGGTCACTGGCGGAGGCAGCGGCATGCTTATCGCGGCGCCCGTCGGCGGCGCCGAGGGCTCCGCCGCGGCGGCCGCCGTGGCGGCGGCATGGGATTCCGCCACAAGCAGCCCGCTTGGAGGGCGCGCACGGCGCAGCGCGGCGGCGGCGCCGCTCACGCTTGCGGGAGCCGCGCAGGCCGCGGCCGCTCTGCTCAAGGAGCACGACGCCTTGCTGTCCCAGCTGGGCAAGCGCGTCGCAGACGGTCAGGAGGAGAGCGCGGGCCTCGGCCAGCAGCTGGCCGACGCCCGCGCCGCCTCTGGCGCGTCTGCGGCTGCTGCGGCGGCGGCAGCAGCGGCGATGCAGCAGCAGCTGGCGGGGCAGAGGGCGCGTGTGTTTGAGCTTGAGGACGAGCGCGACACGCTGGCTGCTGAGCTGGAGGCCGCGCAGCAGCAGCTTCACCGCGCCGAGGCCGCGGCCCAGACGGCTGCCGCCGCGGCATCGCAGTCGAGCCAGCGCGCTGCGGAGGCCGATGCGGCGCGCACGGCGGCGGCTGCCGAGGCGGAGGAGGCAGTGGGGCGCGCCGCGGCGGCCGAGGCAGCGCTGCAGTCGGCCGCATGCCAGCTGGACGCGGCCCGCGGTAGTGCCGAGTCCCTCGCGGCGGCCGAGGCGCAGGCACGCAAAGAGCTGCAGGACCTCGACAACCGCCTGCGTGCAAGCGGCGCGGCGCGCGCGGCCGCTGAATCCGAGGCCGCTGCGGCGCGTTCCGAGGTGGCAGCGGCGCTCAATGACAAGGAACGGGCGTCAGCACTGGTGGTTGAGCTGCAGGGGCGGCTGTCGGAGGCGACGTGGCGGGTGGAGGCAGCCGACGCGCAGGTTGCGGCCGCAGGGCAGCAGGTGGAGGCGGCGCGGGCCAGCGAGGCGGCTGCGCTTAAGAAGATCCGGGAGAGGGAGGAGGACGAGGTGGGCCAATGTGCTCGTTGGGTGTGTGACCAAGACGGTTGCGGGGTTGGTTGGGCTGGAAGGTTCTGTCAAAATGATGGCGCCAGGGTGCAAAGTCTGGCTGGTGTGCAATCAAGTGAAAAGATGATGCAGAATGCATTTGCTTGGGGTGTATGCAGCTCATGATCTGATGTTTTATAGGTTGCGTTATTGGTTTTTGGTGCCATCATGCCAAAGGTCCCCGCTCTACCACCCTGCGCCTGGTCCCCCCAACACCCACCCCCCCACAGGCATCCTTCGCCCTGAGCCGCGTCAACGCCACAGCCGGGAGCGACAGCAACGACGGCTGGCGGCTTGGAACTCGCGCTGTGCCGGACGGCCCCCACATCCCGCACCACGGCTTTGCGCTCGGCGCGTCTCGCGACGCGAGCCTCGGCGGCATGGCCAGCGCGCACAGCGGCAGCATGGGCGGCTCACCCAACGCGGCTGAGGCGGAGCGGCAGCTGGAGCGCGCGGAGAGGCTGGAGGTGTCGCTGGCAGACGTGCGGGGGCGCATCGCCGCGCTGGAGGAGGACGTGCTGGCGTTGCAGTTTGCAGCTGACGCTCCAGAGGAGGTCGCAGACCTGCCGGTCCGCTTCCAGAATTCTGCCCTGCAGGCGAGTGGCTGGCTGGCTGGGGGTAACATGCGTTTGGTGCTGCGAGGTGACGCTGCTGTGAAAGTGCTTTGAATACATCCCAATGCTGTTGATGGTGTGGAATTGCCTTTCTTGCTTGGTTCTTGTTGGCACATCAATTGCTCACTCCACACTTCACTCTTGACCGGCCTGCCGCCCCCCACACCCACAGAGCATCCACACCACGATTGTGACCCTTCGCCGGGCGGCCGCCGCGGCTCAGCAGCAGGCAGCCGCTGCCCAGCAGCAGGCCGCGGCTGCCGGCCGCCTCAGCCTGCTCGGCCCTGCAACCCAGCGCCACGCGGCCGCGCAGAGCGCCTCGTCAGCCGGCCACGGCGCACTGGCGTCTGCCAACCTCGGCCTCAGCGGCACCCTGTTCACGGGCGGCAGCGCGGTCGAGGCGGGCGGCGCCCAGCTCAGCGTGCTGAAGGACGGCCTGAACGCGTGGCACGACAGGGACGCGCGCGCCAGCGACGCGCGCCACAGCTTGCTGCAGCAGATCAGCGAGGACGGGTCAGCGTTGCCCGCGCCTGCAGGCCGCCCGTCGGCAGCGTCGGCCGCAGGGGGGGCTCCGCGCCGTGTGCACGGCCTCGCCTCGCCGCGCGGCTCGATCGGGCCGGTGGGCTTGGGCGCGCCGCTGCCGGCCGCGGCCGCGGCCGCGCTCCAGACGAGCGTGCAGCTGCGGTCCATGCTGGCTTCGGCCGAGGCGGGCGATGACGAGATCGGCCGCATGCTCCGCGACCTGACCGCCACCGGCACCAGCGCCGCGCCGCTGGCCGCCACGGCCGCGGCCGCGGCCAGGCCGCAGACCCCCGCCGGCGCAGGCGCGCCCGCGCCCGCGCCTGTGGCCTCTGCAGCGCTGCCGGGTTCTGATGGGCCGTCGGCGGCCGCGGCCCGGCCGGCGTCGCTGCTGTCGATCCAGGCGGCGCTGGACCAGGCGGGCAGCCTCGACGAGATCCAGAGGATCATCAGCAGCGCGCTGGCCCCCGACGACGCAGGGGCAGCCAAGGCCCAGGCTCTGGGGGCACAGCCCGTCGGCGGGAACGACGGCGACCACGGCGCGAGCGCGCGCGCGCACGCCGCGGCCGCCGAGGCACAGGCGCGCGAGCTGCGCGCGAGCTGCGCCGCCCTGGCCGACGAGCGCGCGGGCCTGCAGGAGCGCGTCCGCCGCCTCGAGGCCGCCGCCGCCGCCAGCAGCGCCGAGCGCACGCAGAGCAGCGAGGCCGCCGAGGCGGCGCGGGGGCTGGCGGCGGCGGCGGAGGCCGCGAGGGCGGAGCTGGAGGCGCGGCTGTCTGCTCTGGCGGAGGAGAACGCGCGGCTGCTGGACATGAGGGGCCAGCTGGAGGACGACCTGGTGGTGGCGCAGGCGTTTGGCCAGCAGCTGGGCGCGCTGCGCGAGGCCAACGCGGTGCTGCAGGCGCAGCTGGACGAGGAGCTGCGGGACGCGGAGGAGGAGCTCGCGCGCACGGCCGAGGAGCGCGACGAGCTGCGCGCCGCGGCCGCACCCCTGCGGGCGCGGCTCGCCGCGGCGGAGGCCGAGTGCGCGGCGCTGCGCGCGCAGGTCGAAGGGGCGGGCGGGGAGGCCGGCGGCGGCTCGGCGGGGGCGGAGGCCGAGCGGCTGCGGGCGGCGTGCGGTCAGCTGACGGCGCGCTGCGACGAGCTGGCTGCGCAGCTCGCGGCGGCACGCGCTGAGCTGGACGCTCTCAGGGCAGCCGACGGGCGGCGCGCGTCCCGGCGGCCCGCGGCCAGCGTCGCTGTAGGCGTCGGGACGGATGGCGCGGCTGTGGCCTCGGTGGGCATCAGTGCAGACGCCATGCTTTCTGCGGCGTCCACCCTTAGCGGCGGGCTCAACGAGGTGAGACCTTGGGGGTTGCTAGTTGTGTTGGCAGCCGCCTGCACGCCAGCTTGCTGTGATTAGGCCACCGTCGTCCATTTTTGACAGTTGTGTTGGCAGCTGCCAGCAGCTTGGTGTGTCAGTGGGGCGTGTAGAATATGACGCATGCTTGCGAGTAGGTCACGTCAGGCGACACGACAGACTTGCCACAAGGAGGCGCGTAGACGTGCCGCCCCCACCTTTCACCCTGCACCTCCAGACAATGCTGGCGCTCGAGCAACAGATGGTGCCAAGTGTGCTGCCGCGCGTGTCGGAGCTCAATCCCCTCCAGGTGCCGCTGGCCTTTGAGGGCGACATGTTCCTGCAGGACATGGCCCCCAGCCGCATGGTGTGCTCCAACCCCGAGGCGCTGTCGAGCCAGCCCCACAAGCCAGAGTCTGAAGAGGTTGGTCTGCGGGCTGGGAAATCGTGGGGTGCAGCCGCAGCAGGACAGCGCCAGATGTTGACTCACGCGTGCCTGCTGTCTCCTGCCTCCATGAGCCGCCTGACAAGACCCTCCTTGGCCCCGATTTTGGAAGCCTTCAGCCCTGGACACCCTTGGTTCCAACAGCCTGAACAACTTGTAAATGATAGAACCTAGAGCAAGGCAACGCAGCTGGTGACCTCTCGCCCCCTGCCGTTACCCGTGTTCCTCTCTACTCGCAATCCCCAGGATTACCTCTACTACAGCCGCCCCGCCAACATGGCCGGCAGCTGCGACGACGCCGCTCACCACCGCCCCGCGCTACCCAGCCAGGAGCAGGACGAAGAGGCCGCCGCAGCCTTGAGGGCAGCCCACTACCAGCAGCTGCTTGAGCAGCAGCCGCCGCAGCCGCAGCCGCAGCAAGCCGCACAGCAGTCGGCGGGCGCACAGGCGCTGCGCCAGCGACTTGCGCTGCTGCGCACGCAGAGCATGGGGCGGCCCGTCGCTGGGCAGCCTTTTGCACCAGCCGGCAACGGACGCGCTCTCCAGGTTGGACAGGTGTTTGATGGGGAGGCGTCACTGCCAAAGAGCCAGGCAAACAGCAGCGGCGGAGCAGGCAGCCCGAAGGCCACCGTTGTTCGTGAGTATGGCGGCGCTAGCGCTGGTGCCAGCCCTCGCAGCATAATTGGCGCTGCCCCGAGCAGATCTGCGGTGTCCCCGCTGCCGTCCCCAGGCGCGCGCTCCAGCGCCAGCAGGATCCCTCGAGGAGCCGCTCAGAGCACTGGCCAGACCGGCGCAACGAGTAGCCCCCAGAATGCGGCTGGTGCGCAGGTCTTCGCCAGCCCGCGCGGCGGGGCGGCCATCAGCCCGATCAGCGTGAGCGGCCCCGTGCACAGCCGCGTGACCGTGCTGAGTGCACCACCATCACCTGGCGGGACCGGTGCTTTGCGCTCCCCTCGTTCGCTGGCGGGCACGATGGCGCCAGCTGTTGCCGCGCAGTCTGTCGGCGGCGACAAGACTTCAGGCATCAAAAAGGCAACGACTGTGCTGCGCGGCATGGCAACTGCCGCGCGCGGAGGGGCAGCTGCGGGTCATGCAGCCTCCTCGGCCAGCCGCACCTCAGGGCCGCCCCGCAAGTCGGCGTTTGCTGTCGGCGAGGCAGCAAGCAGCTCAACCACCGCTGCAGGCGCTGCTGGCCGGCTGGGGCCGCGCCCATCAGACGGCAGCGAGCAGGGCGGGAACACCACGTTCGGCAAATTGGCTGGCATCTTGGCCAAGAAAAAGTAAGGCGAAGGTGTTCAGGCCTCACTCTTCATGCTGCAGTGCAATTTGAGGGGTTACAACGCGTGGCATGCTGGAGCAGTAGGGACGGTGGCGCTAGTCCGGAGCAGCTGCCCTGACCCTACTGCTCGCGAGCCCACACACACATCTCAACTTTATGCGTAGCGCTTTGGATTGTTGACCGGCAACTCACTTTGATGGGGTGGGGTTTGTCGCCAACGGTTTTGATGGCCTCATCGTATATGCGGGCACTCTCATGCAACACTCACCAGAAGCAGTCAAGAGGTATTCTCCTCCGTTTCAAGAATTCAATGTTCACACTTGGGCTGGTGGATGATGAGCAATGTGGGATTTGCTCAGTATTTTTGGCAATGAGCTGCAAAGAAGCTCAAGGTGCAGGCTCTATAACTCAGCGCTTGGCCTTCTAGAAAGAAGTTTGTGATGTCAGTGTCAAACTTTGGGCCATGCAGGGCGCCGCACTGTGTAACAAACCACAAGACAGGACGGCCCCTGGGTGCGGGTTTCATCATAAGTAGTCCTGGAGGGGCTGAGGACCTCGCCCTGCTTGCTGATGTGTGGTCCCACCACACCGTGGCGGCAACATTGCGTCTGGGGCGGGCGCGATCCATCGCATCCATCCGCGCAGGTGTCGTCGGCCTGTCGAGTAC